CACCGCTCCATAAGTCGATGCTAGCCACGGTAGTGAGGATGCACTCCACCGACTTAATATGCTTACTGTGGACACACGCAATCGACTGTATAAAATCGATTTCTAAAAAGCGACTTCTATAAAATCAACCTAATTTCATAGTGTAGACATACCCTAAGTAGAAGACAAAAGACAACAGATGGATATAGTCAAATCCAACCCAGACTGATACTAACTGAAAGTTGTTACTATCTGACGGCTGTTTAGTAGCTTATTGCCTCAGTCAATTCCTGGTTAACAGTTGTCCACATCTCATAGCTGACACTCTTATTAGCAGTCCCGACAAGTCCCTACAAGTAGTCCCTTCAGGCCAAGTTTGACGCATAGCGTTGTAGCAGTTTGTGGAGGCTCGAGCTGCTGCTTTTCAGAAGACAGAACCCCATGAATTGAGAGAATTCTCTCTGTGTATTTATTTTTCCTGTAGCGAATATGCATTTGTTTATCTCTGCATAGTTTTCTCGAGAAAAGCTAGTCACTGCCTCTGCATTATAACAACAGAAACTGAATGTTTGAGGTGGGTCTAAGATTCTAGTTGTTGGTCTGTGTATAAGGCACCTACAGGTACTTCAAAGGATCAGAATGCTTCACAGGCTTGCAGAGTTCCAGCAAAATTTAGACTTGAAGCACAAGACTAAGAATCAATTTAGATGTTCTCTTCTAGCAGATTTATAGGTAACTCGCCCATATTTGGGGAAATTAAAGGACATCTCTCTAGCCACTTCTTTACCTAAAGTAGTAGTGGTCCTAAAGAACTTGACCAGGCTGTTTTCTCTTGAACATAGAGAGTCTGAAAGAGAAAGTGGAAAGAGGCCATAGATAGGAAGCCTTCAATGTAGTCCAGTTTCATTCCCACACAGTGTTTCTTCCAATTTCTAGACATTCTCCAAAATGTAGCTGAACATTTATTTCAGAGTGATATAACAAGAAGCATCATTTTTCTCAAACACATGGGCTGTGGGTGCAGACAACAGATGTAAATGAGCCTCTTCCCCATTTTTTTTTCTTGTCAGGTGGTTGGCTGAGTTGTAAAGAAATAAGAAGTTGGTCTCCCCAGGTTCATTAAAAAAAATCTGCATTATTTACAACTTGTATTGCAGCAGTGTTTAGGTATCCCAGTGGAGATCAGGCCCCATTGTGCTAGGTGCTGTACAAACACAGAGTAAGAGAGAGTAAGAGTTTATACTTTATATAGATTTTTAAAAAGGATGTGAGGGGACACAGACACAGAGAGGTGAAGTGGCTTTCTCAAGGCAGAGGCGACGTTTGGGGGGCATGGAAGGTCAAGTGCCCCCCCCCCAGATTGGCCTGCCAGGGGCGGGAAAGAGAGAGGCGCTCTGTCCTTCTCCCTCTGTGCCTCCTCCTCGGCACGTTCAGCTGCTCTCCCTGGCAGCAGGGTGGGTAGCGGGACAGAACTGCTTCTGCCTGAGACACCCTGGCTGGGAAGCAGCGGCAGCCCGCTCCCTAAACGGGCTTGGCTGCTAGGGACAGGGGATGAGTGAGCCAGAAATGGGTGGGGCATCTGGCTTACCCAGCCTCTGTCCCCAGCAGCTGGGGCTGCAGAAGGCCAGCCCCGACCCAGGCCCTGCTGCCGGGGACATAGGCCAAGCCCCCTGCATACTTGGCCCCTGTCCCTGGCAGCCGAGCCCACTCAGGGAGCAGGCTGCCGCTGCCTCCCAGCCAGGCTCTCTCAGGCAGAAGCAGCTCCATCCCACCAGGGAGAGTGGCCAAATGTGCGGGGGGGAGACACAGGGAGAGAAGGAATGGGGAGAGCATGGCGTCCCCAGACTGGGCAGAGGTCGGTGGGGCTGTCACTGGACAGAGGACATGTGGGGTGATCACATGTCCTCCCCTTTAGATTGTGGGCCCTCCCAGTATGGGGAGGCACCAGCCATCTGTGGTCTTGCAGGGGTCAGTTCTGGGTCTGGTACTAGTCAATATTTTCATTAATGACTTGAAAAATGTAGCGGAAAGTCTGCTTATAAAACTTGTGGATAACATTAAGCTGGCAGGGTTGCATGCACTTTGGAGGACAGGATTAGATTTCAAAATGAGCTTGACAAATGATAGGTGAATTGGTCTGAAATCAAACAGATGAAATTCAATAAAAACAAGTGGAAGGTACTACTCTTAGGAAGCAAAAATCAAATTCACAACTATAGAATGGGGAATAACTGGCTAGGCAGCAGCACTTTTGAAAAAAACCTGGGGGTTATAGTGAATCACAAAGTAAATATGATTCAATAATATGAAGTGGTTGCTAAAAAGGCTAATATCATTAAGGTGTATTGTTATAGGGTGTCTACCCCACACCGGCCTGGAAGGGGTTAACATGGGCCTGAGAGAAAGCCGGGTTTAACTGATAATGAGGCCCAGCTGGGGAATGGCTGGGTGGTGATTATAAAGCCAGGAGGGTTGCAGCAGAAAGGGGGGTTTTCCTTAAGGATACTAAAGTGAGTGAAAGGCTATTTAAAAAAAAAATATATGGGGGGGCTAAAAATTGAATGAAGGAAGTGGCAGTCGTAGCCTTGTGGGATGAGGTCGCTGTGCCAAAAACCAAACAAAGACAAAGCAAGGGGGCTGCTGGTAGAGAGTCTGCAGTCAATCTCTGGGGGACAGAAGAGCTAGGAAGCAGTCCGTGGAGGCAGCAAGGAGCCGGATAGAGCAGACCTTGGCTGCCAGCTACAGGGTCCCTGGGCTGGAACCCAGAGTAGAGGGAGGGCTGGAGTTCCCCTACCACTAAGGAAGATGGGGTGAAACCCCCTGAGATAAAAGATGTAAGGACCACAGCGCCCAGAGACAGACAAAAGATCTGCGGTAAGGTCATAGCTTGGTTGGACTCTCTGATACTCCAGAAGGGGTGGACTAAAGCATGGCCCAGCTGGAGGGCCAAGTTGCAGGAAGAAGAAGAGACCCCTGCAATGCTGGAGCAACTGTCAGCAGGGGGCACCATACAGGGAGAGAGCCACTCCACCCCACCTGGCCACAAGGAGGTGCACCTGCAGCGAGTGTACCCCTTCACAGCTGTATTAACAGGAGTGCTGTGTGTACGAGGTGGGAGATAAGTGTCCTACTCTACTTGGCACTGGTCAGGCCTCAGCTGGAGCATTGTACAGTTCCAGGTGCTACACTTTAAGAAAGATGTGGACAGATTTGGAGAGAGTCTAGAAGAAAATGACAACAAATGATAAAAGGGTTAAAAAAACAGCTCTATGAGGAAAGGTTAAAAAACTAGGGCATGTTAGTTTCGAGAAAAGAAGGCTGAGGAGGGACCTGATAACAGTCTTCAAATATCTTACAGGCTGTTGTATAGAAGAAGGCAATCAATTATTCTCCATGTCCACTGACAGTAGGAGAAGAACTAATGGTCTTAATCATCAGCAAGAGAATTTTAGGTTATATATTAGGGAATCCTTTCTAACTATAAGGATAGTTAAGCTCTGGAATAGGCTTCCAAGGGAGGTTGTGGAATCCCTATCACTGGAAGCTGTTAAGAAGAGGTTAGACAAACACCTGTCAGGGATGGTCTAGGTTTCCTTGGTCCTGCCTCAGTGCAAGGGGCTGCACTTGATGATCTCCTGAGATCCCTTCCAACCCTACATTTCTATGATTCTGTAAGACAGGATGCACTGGGAATCTCGAAGGAGGGACTTCAGTGAGGAGAGGGAGGAAGTTTAGTGAACTGGGATGGGCAAGGCATTCCCTATGTAGTGGATGGCAGGGAAGAAGAAATGAAGAACAAGTTAGAGAATGCAACAAGGGAATGGAGAAGCATAGAGAAAGGAATGCGAGAACAAGGTGAATAGGACATCAAAACTGGCATCACTGGTGGAATGGAAAGTACTGGGGCACATTAAAAGATGAAGAGTAAAAATAAACATGTACAAATTGTTAACAGCAAGAAAAAATATTAGACCAAAATGTCTCTCGGGATAGTAGCATCATCCCCCCTGAAGTTACACAGCTTGCTTCCCCGGCAATTCCAGCTGGCCTAGAATTCATTTTGTCAGATGTGCAAGTAAATGAAACCCAGGGTAGCCAATCCTTTCAGCTTCAGCCCCGGTACTGCATTTGTCTGTTCTTTTTGGTACGCTGACAGAGTTGAAAGTGACTTGTTCTGTGCCGTGTTAAAGCAATGGCTCACACATGTGTTGCAGAATGAACAAGTCACTGTCTGATCTGACTTTGATAGATCCCACTGTTTCTAGATTGAGTGTTTCATATATTTTACATATTACAGCACTGCAGAAATATTTTCTGCAGGATGTATGGTAAAATGCTTCTGTAAAGGAGTGCTTTTGGTAGCGAGAGTATACAGAACACTGACAGCTCTATGAATGTACCAAATAGGGTGACCAGAGGGCAAGTGTGAAAAATCGGGACGGGGATGGAGGATAATAGGAGCCTATGTAGGAAAAAGCCCCCAAAATCGGGACTGTCCCTATAAAATCGGGACATCTGGTCACCCTAGTACCAAAAGGGGAGCCTATGGCATAACAAGGGGAGATGTAGCAGTCCAAATTAATTCCTGGTGTAATTCCAATGGAGTTACACCCAAGAATTAATGTAGCCTATGACTTTTGGTTTACAGCATGTGCAACAATATTAATTGCTCTGTTTCCTATGATGACATGCACACTGGGCTTGATCCTTATGTTCTCTGAGCACTCTAAACTCCCACTGAAGTGCTCAAAGAATGCTGGATTGGGCCCAGGTCTAGCACGAATAATGTTGCCCATAACCAGCAAGCCGAGAGGCAAGTAATTAAAAATGTGCACACAAGCAAATCCAGTTAAAAATGTGTTTAAAGGTGTTAAATGTAAGTAGAATGTCAAGTGTTGCACTGTAATGAACTGTTTCAAATGATTTCATAGACATCATATATTTTTCTAACCTCTCCCCAGGGCACTACAATAGTAGAAACAAATTTCTGTACCCTCGGCTTTTTCTTTTGCTGTACCCACCTTTATGCCAAAATCCAAGTAGAGAAAATGTCTGCAGTGTGATTCCATTCACTGAAAATACACCCTCTCCGAGTCCCTGTAAATAGAGACATGGTTTTAAGATCACAGATACACCAGTGTGCTGCAGAATTATTCAGGTCAGCTGAGCTGACTGGCATTTACTTCACAATTAAGAGCTCTTCCCCCTGTCTATACCACTCTAAGGGCAAATATTACTCCTTATGCAATGTGGCTGCACAGCAGAGCAGTGCTAGTTGTGACGGAAATCCCCAAATCATCCTGCCAGTGTGAGGGAGGGGACTCTGCGTAGGGCCCAAAAGGAACATGTTGGACAACAGCAGCTGTGCCCCCTCCCAGTAAGTGAGTGCTCCGTATCACAGCATCTGCAGTGGGGCAGTGTCTGGGCTTAATTGATCAGAGCCCAAACTAGCAACCACATTCTCTTAGGAGTAGAGGGAGCTGGTCATTCTGCTAGCTGGACCCTTCATTTAGTGCTATGGTGGTTGTGTCTCCTGCCTGGCTATTGTGAGGATGCACTGATGGAAAGCTGTAGAGGCCCCATGACTTCTTTCTATCATACCACCCCTCTGCATCACAGGGAGGGATTTCCCCCGCTTATTGCAAATCAATGTCTGCTGAGCAGCCCTGTTTATAATATTATTTATATCACAGTAGCACCCAAAAATGTACTAAGTGCTGTACAAACACATAGGAAGATAGAGTTCCTGCCTCAAAGGAGGTACAAGAAGGGAGGGGAAAGGGAAGCAACATTCAAACTAAAGCAATCAGTGTGATTGGAAAACGGCTTGTTAGATCTCGCTCCTGTTCTCTGCAAAGTAACTTGTTATTAATAAAAGGGGTGATGCCCCTCGGACTATCTTAGCAGGCAATGTTCTTGGGCATGGCAAATTGGTAACTTGATTAGATTTTAGTTTCACTTTACAGCTGCTTAAGCTAGGGAAAGTAGATGAATAAACAGACTGTAGCTCAGCAAACCTTGGACATGACCTGAACAACTTCAGATTCTGGATCTGGGGCCAGCTTTGACCGTTGTGCTTAGTTCCATCCTGAGACTTTGAGAAAGCAAATGGAGATAACTCTGGTCAAGTAAATTCCTAAATGGGAAGAAACGAGGCCATTTTTATATGTGAGAGACAACAAACTAGTGACATTTTAAAAAGCACAGTAAGGAGAACCAAATCTGCCTGCCCCCATACTGCTAGGTACATATTGTATGTGCTGAATTGTTCCTGGTACTTTTGCTCAAGCAGCTGTGATGTTTGTCTGCCCTTTTATTTAGCATGCTTACTCTGTGAAATCAACGCACCTGTCAGAGAAGTGGCTTGTTTTACAGAATCAAGGCCTATTGAAACATTTTAAAGAAAAGATTTGTTTCCATTGTTAAGATAAAGATTTTTTCTTAGCGGGGGGGGGGGAAGGAGCTTGAAGTATTGACTTCCGGCTTGGAATGCGGGGAAGGTTAGAAATACATGATTAAGAGATCATTTAAACCACTGCCCTCCTGTTCCTGACTTATTTTTAACTGTAAAAGAAAGAAAAATCCCCTTATGTTTGCTATTGGGCAATTAAAAGAAAGAGCTTGGCTGCTTTCACCAAGAAAGTCTAGGTTGCTTTGATGGTTGCAGTGAGTACTTTTGATCTTTTGTTGATAAAACAAAGTTTGGAGGATGTATCAATGCATGTTTACATAATGCTGCATTGCTGAAAAGCTCCACTGCTGGTGAAAAGACACAGCTGGTTTTAAAAGAGAGACGCAAATATAAGAAAAAAGAAGTTATACAAGGAATTTGAGGTTTCAAAGGTCATGCCCAGGTTACAGAAGATCATGTCTAGGGTACATAAAGGCTGAACTAGGTTAGAGAAGAGTGCAAATAGCCTAGGTTATGCCAGTGGTTCGAGCATTGGCCTGCTAAACCCAGGGTTGTGAGTTCAATCCTTGAGGGGGCCACTTAGGGATCTGGGGCAAAAATCAGTACTCGGTCCTGCTAGTGAAGGCAGGGGGCTGGACTCAATGACCTTTCGAGGTCCCTTCCAGCTCTATGAGGTAGGTATATCTCCATATATTATATTATAACTGCAAGCTGGTGGAGTCTCCTTGTAGTTCCAAACAAACTTTACCCTCATTGTAAAAAGTCAGTCATCCCCTTTGGGGCTTGGTTTTATTAACAAAACACTAATTCAAAAATAACATGACATAAACCCCAAGCTAATCCTTCTCCCAGGCTTGGTTGCTGCTAGTGCTACTTTCCCATTGGCCCTGCCCCAGACCCTAGCATCTCTCTCCATGGGCTTTTCCCACCTTCCTAATATTCAGGCTGGAGTCTAATGAGCCACACATGCTCTAGTGAGTCAGTAATAATTAACCTGCAGCTCTCTGCTTGATTCCAATCCCTGCTAATAGATTTTTGCCCCCGTTATGCCAACATATTGGGCTATGGAACGTGATATAGTAGTATACAGAGAGTTTGCGATGAACAGTCCTCTAGATAAAGACATGGGAGCCGGCAACACTTGTAGCGAACCTAGTTATACTCAAACTTTGCATGCAGTGAAATGGAGTGAAAACCCTACATTGTTTTAATGTACTTCACTATTAGTGGAATGAAAGTCCAGGCAAGTTTGACTCCATTATAAGCATGTAGCACAGGGCTCGTCTTATTAGAATGTAGCAATTATCACCTACCACACTGGTGTTAACGGGAATTGCATAGCCTAGGCAGCTTTGAAAATCTCAGCTGTAGTTTTTACTGTCACTCATTTCAATTTCATAACCTGAGGGTATGGCTCCACTACAAGCAGGGCTGAGACGCTGCAGCACTGTGATTGAAGGGGTGCTGCTGTACTGAAGGACAAAATGAACTGGAGTAGGAAAGGGCCTTCTGAGTAGTAGGCTTTGTTACTGGTGCTTCCTGCTTGAGGAAGACCTTCGGCCCTCTGTGTCTGTTTTTAGCACCTGAGTGTGGTCTGTATGGCCCAGTGACTGAATACAGGACTGGATGTCAGGGACTTGTTCGTTTTATACCTAATTCTCTCATTAATTCGCTGAGCAGGTCACTTCACCTCTTCTATCTGTAAGGAGGACTCAGCTCTCTCACCAGCATCTCCCATTGGCTACCTTAGGTGGTTCATGGCCTAGCATGCTGGCTTATGTGGCTCATAGTCTAAGGCATCTAGCTCTGCCCATTCATTGTACAGGGAGCCTAGGTGCCTAACTCAGGCGTTATAGATCACAGTGTTGTTCCTGTGACTTTTCTAGGTGCCAAAAGTTAAGCATTGTGATGCTGAGCGTTGCCACACCTAAGTCTCTTTGTGGATCAGGGCTGAAATGCTCACCTAGTCCCCAGAAATGTTTGAAGCCGTTTATCGTACAGTTTATTTGTCTTAATTCCACATCTCGTGGAGAAAGGGCAGGGTCTTTCTATAGGAAATCAATGCTGTTCAACAGCATTCACTTTGCAGGGCAGGAAATACCTCAGGACAGGTGAAAATTTAAGGCCCCAGGCCTGAAATTCTTTCCAATTTCACACATTTTGTCCCTGATCATTTGTAGAAATTCCCCTTTTTTTCTATCAGTTGTTCCCTTCTGCACAGATGGGGTAAGGGGTGGGAGTGGGGAATGCTCTGTAGCTGGGCCATTGGGCCTGGTCCATGAGTTTTTAATTATTGAATTATTTTTTTGGTACACAGCCCAAGTGCTTTATTGGTATTAAGTGACTTTCCATTGACTTCAGGCGACTTTGGATCAGGACATACATTGTATACGTTAATGAAATAAGTAAATCTGATTTGAACCTGTTTCTACTGATTGTGTGGGACTTGTACTGTAATTGTCAATACTTCCTTTTTTTTATGTCACATTGGGCATTCTGTTAACATAAGCAGTCTATTGGGTTATTCACAAAAACAACAATAAAGGTTTTAGTATGTTTGAGGAAAAAATGGGATCTTATGAGAGACTGCATAGTTTGTTCATGATTCATCCTGAGAACTTGTTACACAAGTGGCGATGAACTGATTTATGTTGGTGAACAGAGAAAGACACTGAATAATTTTCCAGTCATAAAGAAGGCTAATTTCACATTTCCTGTAAGCACATGAATGCAGTCCTTTTAGTGCTAGTGTTCTGCTACATCTGTACACCCCATGTTGAAAGATTCATCAAATTATATAATTCTTACCTTACATTCAGGCAAAATCTCTGACTTCACTAGGGTTTTTTTTAGTAAGAACTAAAAGATCCTATAATGTTATTCTGATATTTGAGGATTGATTCACACAACTCCTATTTGGAGTCTCCTGTCTACATCCAGCTAATATTAGTCTATTTTAAAACATTCAATATCAAAAGGAGTCAGCAGAATTGGAGCATCGGTCTCCTCTCCAAAACAAGAACCCTCTACCAAGTTAGCTACATGAGCAGCTCCAGTAATTTAGCTAGCAGAGATAACTGTTATACATGTGCATGTTTGGCACTGTTAGCAGAAATACACACAGATCAGTATCTCAGATACTCCCCAGTTATGGCAGAGCTCCTCTCGTACTCTTACTCATAAGAGAACATCTGGTGTCAAAAGACAACAATATTCAATGATCCTCATTTGATTGGAATAGGTGTGTTTGTTGTTACACAGGCTAGCTATGTGCATTGCGTAGTGGTGATGAGAGCAGCCTCTTCCAATTTTCCATGAGGTGTTAGCTTGTTGCCCAGATTATTATTTATTATTTCTGTTGTGGTAGTGTCCAAGTGTAACACCAACAGACTCCAGTCATCGGCGGGCGGGATTGAACCTGGAGCCTAGTGCATGAGCCTCTACTGCATGAGCTAAAAGCCATATTACTGCTACCTAAGGTTGTAGAGCAGACTTATTAATCTCTCTCTCTAAGTGGTCTCAGTGCCACTAGATGGGACAGAACACCACACCCAGAAGGTGTGAGGGTTACACAAACACTCTAACTGGGGATCAGGGCCCCATTATACTAGGCACTGTTCAACCAAATAAAACAAAGTCCCTACCCCAAAAACCTCACAATCAAAGATTCAGATAATAGGCAACAGATGAATAAGCAGACAAAGAGAAGGGAGGAAGGTGGGAGGACAAGGTATCTGTGGAATCAGGTGTGATTGTATATATATTTTTGTTTAATAAAAAAATAATGTATGTTTTGTTTTGCTGGTGAGATGAGCTTATATGTGGTTCATATACTTAATCCTGCTGTGTGGCTATTATGTTGGATGATCAACTGGTTTTCAGCTCTTTGTATGGATCTTTTGGGTTTGGTACTATTAGTTAGATCTAAAGAAATAAATTGGGCTTTTGGTATTTGTGACCCAAGGACCTCTGTGCCCTCTGTCAATTGGCACCTCGCAGTACATTGGATGAAGCCAAGGAATCCTATATCCCTAAGGATGCCATGCAAGGTCTCTAATGAAAGCCTGTGTCACCCTGGTCATCATCATCATTGCAACACATATCTATGGATGTTATGTAAGGAGATTAAACACTGAAAATTATGTTCTTAAGGTCTGTGACTAGGGACTGATCACCCGCAAAGGGAAAAAGCAGGCTGCTTTTTCAGGCAAGAAATGTTTATCTGGCTGTCTGTTTTCATTTCAAATGTTGTATGGTTCATAACTGGCATCCATTTACAGTCTAAGCTGAATGCTAATGAAGGATTGTGAAATCTTCAGAGAGAGGAAATTAACAGGAAGAAGTAAACAGGGGTGGAAGGCCCCTATTTTGAGGTGACCTTCAAAGTTCTGTTCTGGTATATTTTGGGGGTACAGAGAGGCATCCTGGCATCCTTCACCTAAGAAGTAAACTGACAGTGGGTTTGCTTCATGATAAAGGGATCTCAGCCAGGCTTGGTTGAAAAGGCTGAAGAAAACTTTCGGTGAGAGATTCTCCTGTCTAAAGAGGGAAACTTGTTAGTTAAGCGCAGGCTTTAGAATGCATGTTATTGTTTTGGTTTAGATGTAACCACTTGTTCTCATCTCTCTCACTGAATCTCTGTTCTTTCTTAAATTTCCTTTTTGTTTTGTAATTGAACGTGTGCTGTGTGTACTACCAGAGCTGTCGTCTAAGGTTAAACTGGGTATACTGTTCCTCTGGGAACAGAGGATCTGGGATTTCTCTGGGTATCCGGTGATTGGGGGCTAGACACCAGAGTGGGACACTTCTGAGGGACTCATGGGCTAGGGTGCATCTACTATCAACCTGCAAGGCAAAGACAGGGCTGGTGTAGCCCAGAGGAGAGTGTTTGAGGGGCTGACGGGCTCAATGTGTTCACTCCCTAACACCCAGTCAGCACGGTAAGACCTCCCCTCGCGATGGAGGCAGGTTGTAACAAGGAGACTCTTTGCCCTGGCTGCTCCAAGAAGCATCCCAATATTCTAAAAGGCTCCACTGCATTTACAAAATTCTTACTCAACAGAATTTTCCATGGGTAGAAACTCCTCTCCAGTATCATAAACGTTTGCAGATGATTCCGAATTTCCTTGCTCTGCTTTCCCCGATATGCCTGGTTGGCTGTGAGAAATGTGCCTTACAGTGATCTGGGAGGTCTATGAAAACATATAATTTGTGTGAGTTTGGTTCAGTACACAACTTGTTTTTATGGCGAAAAGTCCTATTGCCCCCGGGATAAAGACAATTTTCAGATTCCTTTTTATAAGTTGGTCTGACGATGGCTTTTGACCCTGAATACTCTATTAGGTGCCATTTTCATTTCCATAACCTGTGGGTCCTGTAATTTTCTTTGAACTTATTTGTACAGCTTCCAAAATAAATGTGGAAGAAAGAATTGAGGCTAGTGGCCCGAAAGTTAAAAATGCACAACTGATTGATCATGTGCAATGAAACTAATTTCTGGCTAGCTACTCTTGCCAGATTTCCAGCAGGCAGACTCACCAAGCTGTAATACAGACTCCTCTGTAATAAAAATAAGCCAAATGAACATCATTTTATGCTAGGATCCATTTTGACTGCCTAAAGTAAAACCTACCTTGCAAGAATATTTTAACTGTATCGTCAGTCTCTTCCAGCCACGCATTAAAGGCCTGATCCTGCTTCCACTTACATCATAAATCAGGAGTAACTCCACTGAAGTCAATGGATAGATTCTGGTATGAAATTGGCTTACGGGCTTGAATCAAAGCCCATTTAAGATCAATGGAAGAGCCCTCACTGACTTCAGTGGGCTTTGCATCAGGCCCTAAGAAAGACAACACAAGTGCTCTAACCTCTCTTTTAGATGTTATTTACAAGGTGCTATTGTTAAGGGAGCAATGTGCCATTGAGTTATTTGTATGATGGGCGATTTAAATGGAAATCTGCTATATTGCAGCTACAGCGACCCTACACTTGCCTTACAACGATTCATGACAGGTCAAGAAAGTATGTGTGTGCAACAAAAATGTGTCTTTCTGTGTTTTATTGTTCATTAAGTCTTTATAAGAGAGCATTTATTATTTTGGGGTAATCTTACTTTATTTTGACTAATTTCTTTATGTGGAATGATTAGGGTGCATTGCTGAATGATCATGCTTTGGTCTCAGAAGCAAGCAGATTTTGCATTCAACCTCTGATCTTGTAATTCTTACTCAGGCAAAAATCCCAGTTGCTTTGGGAATTTGGCCTGAGTAAGGAATGCAGAATAAGGCTCCTGGGGCCTGCTCCAGCTCCCAGTGAATCAATGGCAAACCTACATCTATATGCAGGATGGATCAGCCTTGTCTAAGAGGGTCTGGGTAAATCCAAATATGAGGTGAGGGTTGGATTAAACACTTCCATCCTCCTGTTTCTGCTTTGTTGCCAATCCCCAAGTCTCTTCAGAGCTTTTCAGCTTGTACAAGTCCTTTCTTACCCCAAATTCATAATCTTGGTGTTTGGTGTGTGGACAACATTCCCTTTGCACACGGTCAGTATTCAACCAATAGTGAATCTCTTATATGTGATTAGAGATACAGGGATAAGGAATACATCAGCCAGCTCCTCAAGGATGGGTCACTTGGTTCCTTCCATCATCTCTGGCTGCCAGTCAGCTGGGGAGATCGCACTCTCTATGCTGGGACATTGGTGGGAGGAACACCCCATTTGTCAATGGGGGAGGGAGTCACGGATTCCCCTCCAGGAGACAGGGTGGGGCTCAATGCCCACGTAGTCAGTACAGGGTTACTGCTGTGGATCGCTCACTCAGAATTTCATGGTTCTCTCTATGAACACCAAATCAGAGCAAATTTCTCTATGAACACCAAATCAGCTCCGTGTTCTGGAGGAAACTGGAGTCAACTTCTGGCCCACGTGCCTACAAAAATAAAACTATTTCTATCAAACACTATTGTATACTTATGACTTTTATTCCCTCCGTTAACTTGTGTATCTGCCTTTCAACCTCAGATCGACTGCTACTCATGCGATATTGTCTTCCCTAGACATTGCTCCCTCTCTGATCTTGCTGTCGCCACGTTCCCTCTCTCCAGCCACAGCCACTTTTCTTTCAATTCAGACCACTGCCTCTTGCCACCAACCTGCCCCTCCATCTGGACCTTCTTGGACGTCCAACCCATTGATTTTCATTATTTCTCTCCTATTCTCAGTCCCCTTCTCCCACTCCTCTACTGACTTGTTGGCAACTCCCTGGACTCCACTCTTTACTCTTTTGCCCCTTTTTTCCACTACAAAGTCTGTGTCACTAACCCACAACCATGATTCATTCCCAGCATCTGACTCCTTTGCTCCCACTTTGGACCAGTCACTTAACCTCTCCATGCCTCACTTTCCCCATTTGTAGAATTGGGATAATGATACTTACTTTTGTAAAGTGCTTTATAAATGCTATGAATTTAAATAAGCAGCTTGTGCTTTAAAATGGTATTGTGGACTGTGCTATTGGGCAATATAGCACTTTTTTGAAACCATTTTGGGCACCTAGGATTAAGGAAATGGTTTAATCCCTATGGCCCATTCAATCCATGGCCTCTCTGCTGAGACTTTCATCAAGGAAGCCAGTTGTGAGGGTGCTTTTTGTGGTGAAAACACAGGAAAAAATTGAGTTTCCATGGGAAGCTTACAAAACTATTTGAAACTTTTTTTTTTTCAACTTAAGATGTCTTTTTGGTATTGAAAAACCAACACGGAATGACATTTTACATTTAAACAAAAATGTTTACTTCAAATTGATATTCCTATTCAAAATGTCACTTCATTGTGTTTGTTTTTGAGGGTTTTTTAAAAAATGTCTTTACAGTTGAAACACTTCATTTAGAAACTTCCTATGGGGGAAACCAATTATTTTTGTCAATTTTTTTTTCTGCACAAAAAACTTCAGTTTCAATGGAGCTGTATCCCTCTGCTGGAAAACTTTCTGCATGAAAAATTTCCAACACTGCCAGTGGTATTCTCCACTCCATGGCTCAGGCTTATGAATGTCTCAGGTCAAGCCGCTTCTTGGTAAGGGTAATTGCCCTCCAACATTCACAAGAGGACTGCTCTCTCACTGATCTTTGTGCTTGTAATCGTCATATTGCCACTGAGTTTGTGGCAAGGAATTGTTTAAACTGCCTTGTCCATCTTTGTAATGTTAGCTTTAGCACAGAGTTGATCGTAAGGACTGAAGCATCTCACCTCATAGTCTGCATTGCTTTCCACTGGAGTAAAAATCCATCACATGCCACAAAATGGAATTAAAAAAAAATCAAGTCAAAGCTCTTAATCCATGGTGGGTAAAAATTTAAAAACAGCTTTTAAGGCTTATCCACCCTAAATTTTTTGCTAAGGCTAACTGAGCACGCAGGGAGAACCCTGGCTTTTAAGCCAAAAAAATGTGCAAAAGGAAGGGGTATTTTTTTAAGCAATAATCTGTCCCCACCACCGGGCTGGGAAATGGTTCTTTTGTTTTCTAGACGCTCTACAGATAAGCTAGTGCCAGCAAAAACACCCTGGATCTACTGTCTTAAATATTTTTTTTATTTATTTATTTATTTATTTTATTTTAGGTTGACCCCTATACCTGGTATAGACCCTGATTTTTTTGTATATATTTGTTTAAAACTTCGTTATTTTAGCTTGCAAGAAACCGCAACTCTCTTCACGAGAGCCCTCCATACCCACGTCAAACAGCTGCGTGAACAGTTGACACAGGGGACTTACCAGGCTGCTACCGTATTACTTACCCATTCAGCGAAGTGTATCCGAGTCACGGCACCAAAATGTTGGCGGGAGGTCCAGCTCCTCCTCCCTCTTAATTCCCAGACACAGTTTGTTGGAAAATAACAGTCCAGAGTCCAGTCTGCAGGCAATTTGATGGGTTTATTGGGGCTAAACAAGCAAGCATATTTCGAAGCTCTTCACACCAGTTGGGCTATTTCTATATGCTGATAGAGTTTTCCTTTTCCCCTTCCCCAACGATTATTCTATACGCTGATAGAACCCCCTTCTTCTCCTGACCCCTATCTCCAAATGCCGATGGAGCTCCCTCTTTCACCTCCCTCTTCTTGGCAAACCTAATTATACTTGTAGTGCTCCTTTCCTGGTACCACCTCTTCCAATATATGGTCATGTTCAGTTCTGGGTGGTCTTGAGTCTGGGGTCGACAAGACCACCTCTTTTGTACCTGATGGGAGGGCTAAAGAGAGGGGTTACTTTTGGCCATCGTTACTATTTTGCAGACCTTGCATCTCCTTCTTACATCCTCCCCACCCCTCCAGCTGCTTGGTTACCATAGCAACCCCTTGCTCGATTAGCCCCTTATCTTCAAGGCTACCAGCTACGGGGGGAAGGAAAAGGGGCAGGCAGCCTTGTGCTTTCACTTACATTTTTTTGCTTGCTTATTTAGCCTGTTTAAACTAAAAGCAAGGCCAGAAGCAAAATTATTATTGTTTAGTTTTTTACCCTATTTACTTGACATTTTTCTAACAGTGCCAACAGATGCTGCTGTTGCACAACTGCATGGAGTTAGGGGAAAATCTACATAAAGGGGTGTCATGGGGCATGCCTACTCTGTAGCACTCCCTGCTGGCTAAGCCTGGCACTGCATGTGTTCCCTGACTCCTGCCCAGGGTTTTCTGTCTCCCCCAGGGGTTAACATGACTCAGCTTTCTGGCTGGGTCACTCTGATATCAATCCTCTTTCAGGGTAACAGACCCAGCAAAAAGTCCCAAACAAACAGAAGGTTCTTTTCACCTGTTGTATTCATTTCAGTTGACTAAATGGGCCCAAAGAGTCACGAGTGTTAACATGACACTGAAACTGTCTAACATTAAACAGTTTTAAACGAGGGTCCAGATTTGGTATCCAGAAACCTCCGCCTTCTTAGTACCCTGGGAGAAACAACGCTAGACAGCCTTTTAACCTTCTTATTAAAGATACCTCCAAAACACTAAAGATTTGAAAGGCAAAGTATTTGTTAAATAAGGCTTTTATTTTAACAACCTCTTTTGTTTCCTTTCCCTGTTGCTGGGGAGAGTTTTTAAAAGGGCACCCTCTTTTCTAATTCCCACCTATCCTGTCCCCATTTGACAGTCTTGTTAGACGGTATTTAAAGATGGTAATGACTCTCCTTTTTGGAGAAAAGAAAAGAGGTTATTTGAGCTGTGCCGAAGCTGCTGTTAAAGTCTGATACCATTTTCTAAAAGACAAAAGAAGACGAGCGCACACACCGGGCGAAGAAAGAATAGCAAAGCTGGAAAATGTGGCTTCTGTCTCTGGTGTGGACTCTCAGGCTACATCTACACAACAGCACTTACAGAGGCGCAGCTGCACCAATGCAGACTGCCGCTGTGACGCTTGTGATGGACACGCTCTTAAGCTGATGGGAGAGCTCACCCGTCATCTTAACTCCTGCCTCTGCAAGAGGCAGTAGCTATGTCGGCGGAAGAAACTCTCCAACCAACATAGCGCTGTCTACACCAGCGCTTAGGTCGGTATAATTACATCGCTCATGGGGTGTAGATTATTCACACTCTTGAGCAACGTAAGTTATACCAAAGGACTCACTTGAGACCCCACAACTGGAGAAATGCAAGCATGGAACACACTCTGAGACCTGACAAATTTGTACCAGTATCAGGCTGTTGAGGGCATTGCTTTTTTAGCTGCCTCTCTGGTTTATAGCAGTATTGCAAAATGTAGTCTTGGCCAGTTAAGCTAGACTCTTATTAGATAGAGGGATAGGGAGAGGAAAGAGAAGAAATAAGGCGGGGAAGGAAAAGGACATATGGGAGCGGAGTAGGGTGGTGGTTGGGATTTAGCCAAAGTAGGTGGGTATGGTGGCCCGATCTGGTCAGGACATCTCTCGGGATGAGGACAATGAAGGCCCACCATGTTGTGGTAGATCCTGGGTCCTAGAAGATGGTGCGGGTGGCAGTCATGATGGTAAAACACACTGCAGTGGTTGTTGGCAGACTGCAACTTCTTGATTTCCCCTCCCTCACATAAAAAGTATTTTCTTTTAAGGACCACAAAAGGGAGTGGTGAGTGGAATAGCCCGCCCCCTCATTTTGTGTGCCAGTTAGGCCTAATTTCCAACACACCAAGTTTGGTTCACTGATTTGTGGTCCCCCACTTTTCTTGTTTACCAGGCAGGATCTGAACACAGTCCTCGAGTTCTATCAGTAGGCCATCTTGTTTGGAGTAATCCAGTGTGTCTCCCTTTTGCACTTTCTCCCCATCAACGTTTGTTATAAGTTATTGTGGCATCGTATGAACTTGTGCTCACTGCTTCCAGTCAAGCTTATAATTAGGGTAATTTTGTAAGTCAGTTATTACACATCCCCGGTTGGGCTCCTCTTCAGCCCACCTTCTGGGCTCCCTTTAAGTCTCTCCACTCTGGGACAGACTGACTCCTGAGCTGCTTTCCTTGAGTCCCTCTCACAGTCTCACTCCCTCTGGCTCTGGGATAGAGCTCTGACTCCCAGGCTCCTTCTGGACCCTGCTTCAGGGCCTTTCACAGGAGTGGGAGCCAGCCTGCCTCTGCTTCCAACCTCAAACTGAGTTTTCTCAGCCCTTCAAAAGAAATCATCCAGCTGATCAGGAGTGGGTGGGGGTGGAGCCTGTAGCTAATCAAGTATGTCTGAGCCCAACTACCCTTAGAGGGCCAGCCAAAGTGTGATTGGGGGAGGGAGGAGATGAAGGAAAGGAGAGAAGGGGAGAGGGACAGTGACAGAGGAACCAAAGGAAAATATAGAGAAGATTCTACAGAATTAAATCGTGGGAAGAGCCAAATCTTGTATTGTTGTAGAGCCAAGTTTTCAGCCAAGCTCCTTGAACAGTTCCAAGGCCTGAATGCACAAGTGTAAGTCTTGCACGTGTAGCAGTAACAATTAGGATAACTGGGTTTTAGTACGTCCAAATTCTAGCACATATGCATAACACAGTAACAAGGGGCCATTCAGTGAAATTGAAAGGCAGCCATTTTCAAATTGCTACACAGAAAATTGTTTTTACATGATGTAGAATTAGCCTGTGGAACTCACTATCACAAGGATTGTCCATTTAATCCGTAATGAGAACATGTCCAGTTATTTAAAAAACTTACCTAACATAATATGAGGAATAAAAACTTCAGGGAATAAATCAAGCACTGAATGACTGGGAATGGGGCAAAACTTCCTGTATGAGCAGGTGATTCCACAATTGTTCACAGGGTTTCTTGTCTCTTCTTCTAAAGCACCTGGTACAGGGCACTTTCAGAGGCAGGTAGGACAGCAGATGAGATAGATCACTGCAGATTACATGGAGCATTTGTACCCTCAGAAATATCTAACTCTATTACAGTGGTTAGTCCTATGTTTCTGTGTGGAGGCTGGAATTGTTCAAGTGTTTGCACCTGTAACGTGTGGAAACGTATAGGTGTGCATTGAATTTTGTGCATGCACAAGTGGAGGCTTGGGGCAGCAAATCAGGCACTTATTGTATTGATGGGAGTTTTTGATTGAGAAGTGACTTTTCACTGCTGACTTTAGACAGTGCTTCCTTGTTAGTTTTCATGCTTTTCATACAGTGCATTTAGCTTGGGCAGCAGAGTGGTTGCTTGTCAGGCTGGGAGCACCCAGAAAATCACCACCAGAGCGCTTGCTCAGCTGTCAGCGTGCTGCGGTCTGATTTGCGAGGATTATATCCCTTAGTCTAATACAATGCAATCCAGATTGTAATATGCTTTCATCCCTACAGCCAGAGGTGAAAGTAAGCTGGTACGGTCTGGTACGGCGTACCGGCAAGAGCCAGTACGCCGTGCCGGACCACACCAGCTTCCGCGGCGGGGATTTAAAGGGCTCTGGACTCCCCACCGCTGTGGGGAGCCCTGAGCCCTTTAAATCCCCCCCGCAGCTCCGGCAGCCGGGCTGGGGCCGGGATTTAAAGGGCCCAGAGTTCCGTGGCGGCTGGAGCCCCGGGCCCTTTAATTTGCCCCTGAGCCCCGGGGGCTCCCAGCCACCTCTGCAGCTGGGAGCCCCGGGTTCATTTAAATGCCCTGGGGCTCCCAACCACAGCTGGTGCCCCAGGGCCTTTAAATCTTGAGAGGCTCCGCCTCTTCCGGTTGAAGCCATGCCCCCCTCAGGACAGGTAAGTCCTGTAAGTTACTTTCACCCCTGCCTACAGCTGCTCTGGCAGTGTCAGGCTGATGTCAACTGTGGTGGCCAACAGAGCAGCAGCAATGGGGTTGCTCAATGTTCAACATCGCCCATCACTGCAACTATAGTCAGCCAACAGATTGTCAGCAAAAGGGGGCTGCTCAGTGATCAAGATCAGCCAGAGTGACTGTGACAGCCAACAAAGCCACAGCACGGAGGACTGCTTAGCTCTCAGGAGTATCTTTTAGAAAAACACCAAATGCTGCCCAGTACAACCGTGATGGACGCTGCAGCTGAGGAGTGTTTTATAGGCTTGCAGTCAAGTTTTCCAAGAGGTCTCTGCTTGGCCTCAGTGTGGTCACCAACACCTAGGTGCGCCGTGCGTGCGGTGAGTCGTGTGCAGCCAGCTGAGTCTGCATGAACTAAGCTCATTTGTCAGCGGAAGCCACTTTTTCAGAATCTTTCCGTGGGAAATATTACGCCCTCGCTATGGTCCCCTGAAATTCAAACTCTGTAGACATCAGCCTTTATCAGCAGATGAGATGCTTTGTGTTTGAATGGATGCACAGAGAGCTGCCAAAGTGAACTTGTCCATCTGTCTGTGTGTATCTACTCAACAGCTGCTGGGGCAATAGTGCAGTGCCTTATCCTTGTGGTTCCCAAAGCTTCGTCCTTGCTGGTGATCCTCAGTGATGGCTGAT